TTTGAGCAACCAGATTCACTATAGAATCAAGAAAACATGAAAAGAGCTCAAGCATAGTAGACTGAGGAAGATAATTTGCAGATATTTGCAGTAATGAAAAAGAAAACATAAAAAAATAATTAATTACAAAGCATTACAAAGCAGTGTAGCAAGCATTTGTGGTTCTAAGCGGCCCAACAAAAGATCTCTACAAGATTCTACAAGAATCTACAAGATCTCTACGAAAATGCTGTGACAGTATGTGGCTTCAATCCTATACCCGAAATGTCCCAACGGTGCTATTACTACTCAGGGACATCGGCATTCTCATCCTTCTTCTTGTCATCCAAGGATGTCTCACCCTCAGCAACATGCTTCCACGGTAACCTGGGAAGAACGAACTGCATCCCAACCAGTACCCCAACCAGCCCAAATCAGTCTGGAGCGTGGACCATCTGGACATGCTATAAGCTTGCGTAATAGTAACAGTATGTATATTGGTCTTGTATGCTGCCTGGCAAAATGACCACAAGAGAATACAAAAAATATTTAAAAATTATAAGTAGACATATATAGAAATATATACATAGGAATACAGTGCTGCGTAAAGAATACGCTTCTGTCAAAATCCAAACTTCAAGCCGACCTTCGTCTGCCCGCTGCTGCTCGAGTTTCCACACATTGCACAGGAACCTGGAGTGTTACGAAGGTTGGTGAGCTGGCGCCGGTAAAACAAAGAACCTCTACAACATGCCGCCACGCAGAGTCAATTCTGATCTTGCAAGGGTCTTTCTCTAAGCTTTGGGAGAGATTAAACAATATCAAACCCCAATGCTTCCCAACAGTACTATATGACTACTTAGGGGCCTCGGCGTCCTCTTCCACCTTTTGGTCATCCTTCTGCTCATCAGTCAGGGCTGCCGCAGGCCCCTGGAAAGAATAAACAGCATCATTGGCTCAGATTCCACACATGGTCCATGGTTCATATTCCATTATCTTTCTCTACAGGTCCCTGAATCCACTATATAATCAAGAATCTCGTGGTGTTGGCAAAATTGCTCACTATAAAATCAGGAAAGGCAACTCCCTGACACATCTGTCAAAGTTGTGGCCTGCTCATCTTCTGCTGCTCCAGCAGATGACTGTTGCGGCACAGGATCCTGGGATGCTGCAAAGACTATTCCAATGGTGTTTCTGTGAAACAAAGGACATCTGCAAACCTCCAGAGATCTACAGCCATCGCATGCCATGACTATAGAATCCAAAAGATGTATGCCGCTGCTAAAAATATTCACTATAGAATCAATAAATTATGCATGAAAAGGGAGCAACAGTAAAGTGCAACACAGCAACGACCTGAGCAGGAACTTCTTCACGCGCGTCCGCATATTCCAGATGAGGTGGTTCTGGAACCTGAGAAAAAGGAGAGATGGTGGGAAACTTTCAGAGAAGTGTTTGCTTGACTTCTTCGAGGTTGGACCGTATTCAATAATGTTTGAAATCAGCGCAGTGGGCGGATACTCAAACTGACGAAACGATGCGAAGTGCAAGACTTTTACTTGCTAAGATGTGGTAAGCTCTTGGCCTATACCCAGGAACAAGACCTCTGAAGAATGGACAAGATATGCTTTGCCCACAGGCCCAAAGGGCACAAAATCAAAAGATATCAAAAGATCACTTATTTACAGCCGCCGTGTCTTGGCCGGCTCTCAAACAGGAGGAAATGGGCCTGCCTCACACCTTTGGTGAGACACTCTGCCCTTCTTCCTTGTAATGATCTACCCACACCTTCAGAATCGCTGTGTTGAAGGCGGCAGGATATTGCGCAGAAGACGGCAGGTCTGGCCCGCCAGACCATCCCTTAGAACCATCCCTTTTCTGGCAACTGGTGTAATAGACCTTTGGCACCTTGCGCTTGCTGTTGCGACGCTTCAGCCTCTCCTTGGCGGGCAATGAAACAATCACACAGCCTCCATTGATCTCCTCAAAATACTACACAGATGTACACAGAATCCCCAAGGGTTCCAAAACAATCCACCCGCGCTGTGTGTGTGTGCCAAGAAACCGAAAATTTTTTCCGGGAGGCACGCGACATCTTTCGGCGGAGCTTTGCCATGGCCCTGGCAGATCTGAGCTGATGGGATCTGCTACCACACTATGACAAATTACAATCTAACAAATACATACAAAAAAATGTCAAATTGATAGTATATGTATTTTTAGACCACGGTTGATTACATAAATCCGCATAAATCATTCAAACATTTTATACATGGTTCAAAACCATCCAACACCCAATCAAACAGCAACAAGGAGCACTTTGCCAGCCATGGCCTGACATTGGATACAATACGCGTAGGCTTATGCAAATCCGATCCAAAAAAAGGCTTGCCATGTCATGGTTGTCTGCCTCGGCCAAAATGCGTTTGCTGGTACCCCGACACCAAAAGACCTCAAAACAGATCAAAACAGTCACAAAAAAAAACAAAAAACAAAGAATAACCCAACAAATACGTGGTGCATCTGCATCGTAGAAATGAAGCTTGCCATGAAGGGCAGTTTGAATCCCCATGACTGCGCTGGCTGCTCCATGGCCACTGCGATGTTACGATTCAGTGAAAACACTATTCGTAAGCATTCTGCCTCGAAGATCCGATAACCCATCAAACCACTCTAAAAAGCTAGAACATCATACTGTAGAAATCTGTAGAACATATGAGGAAAACGATAAAATCATATACAATCATAGAAAATCTATTTCGTACATGTTCACGCCATCCAAGCGTCCATATTCAACCATATGCGGTTGGCTAAACGCACACACAGCTGACTCTCGTTCCCAAGTAGCCGCCACGCGCGGCGCATATGGATACTGGAACTGGCTCCCACCATCAAGGAGCAGGGCGGAGCGCAAAATATGAGGCCGCCAGGAAGCAACCTGCACGCAGCCCCGGTAACAAACAACATCAAACAACATCCCAATAAACAATAATACAATAGCAAAGGAATTCAACACATCCTCGCACTCTCATGGTCAAAACACGTGCTTTTAAGCTCAGAAACGCCAAAATGAGCTTTAAGAGAATATAAAATCCGTGTTCTGTCACCAAATCCTCTTCAATGGACGTCTTGATGTCATATGACACGCTGCGATAGCCAGCTCGTGTCCACTTTTTCCTCGTTGGCTCTTGAGGTGTATACAAAACTTGTTCCACCAATATGCACCAGTAATAGAAAGCGTACGTATTATTGAATCATCTTAATTCACTGAAAAACATTTACAATAAACATGAAGCAATCACTCAAGACTAGTTTCGCGAGACCTTGTGAAAAGCTAAAAACGTCCACCAAGTGGAGGTACCGTGGCCCATCCCACGCCTGTGCCCATGACTGAATCTGCTCGGAATGAAGTTCTGCGCAAAACCACCTGAGATTGAAAGGGCTGTCAGCCACCAAGATCCTACTATAGAATCCATTTACTGGGATGTTGGGGAGTGACTGCTTACTATAAAATCAAAAAATTAGCAAAATTACATACACACAATGAGTGACAAAAGTTATGGATTCTACCCTTTTGGTCTTTATTCTTTCTTAATGTATTGTGTTTTCTTTGGTAATCTTTGTGTTTTTTGATTTTTTAGACATATAACATCAGAAAAGACTACATTATGAGTTTCTATAGTCAACAAACATGTAAAAAATGCAACGAAGGTTTAAAATATATATATATATATAAATATATATAAAGATTATAGAAGATTTAGGAAATCCAAGCTACTGCTCTTCTGGAACTGAACAAGTCGTGTCTGCTTGGAGGCTTGGCAAAGTACAAGACGCAGTCACCCACATTGAGGTACAAACCAAGGCTGGCAGCAACACCCGCATTGCAAAACACCACCCGGACCTAGTCTGCACCAAGCCTTCCAAAAGCTCCAGGATTAGCAGTGCTGAAAATGCTGCGATCGGAATCGATTCTGGCAAACTCTGATTCTCGCACCATCAAAGGATCCGTGTGACTGAAATATACTGAAGTTATCTGAAATTACAAACGACATCATATGATTCATAATCTATAATGATCCATCATGATCCAATGGATTCAACTGGCGTCCAATTTTGACTCTCTTACGCGCTCCACTGCTCTATCTAAAGATCAAAATCCGTCAAAAATCTTTGGAATTCTTGAAGCTCT